GGGAGTATTTGTTTTTGCTTCATAATTGTACTTTTAGAAGTCTTTTGAATAGTAGAAGTGTCTTTGAGTGGAGTAAGCATTTTTGAAGAGTTTATTTACAATGAATTATTAGGGTGATTTGGTTGGGACGCTATCTGATTTCTAGGATGTTCACTATTCTATCAACTTCATCTCCAGACATATGAAAAAAAGGTAGCTTGAAAGAAAGGTTTTCAAGTGGTTTAGGAGCACGTCAGAAATTTGTATTCTGACGTAAACAAGAACCTAGTATTTCAGTGGAGAAGGGCGATGAGCCAGACTCGTTATCCACTGGATTTCGAACTACGTGCCACTGGAACTGGGGGTTTCTTAGTTTTCACAAGAAAAAGAAGGATCTTTAAGTTGTTCCTAGGTACCATTAAAAGTTGCAAAAGGAAGAGGCGAAGGCCACTTGTTTCTATATCTCACACTGGATGATGGATGCGCTAGGATGATTGTGGTGTCTCTTTTCATTTACATCTACTTAATTGTTATTTTTAGGGGGTGGGGTGGGGGTGGGAGGAATGATACCTTTAATTAGCTCAATAAACAATTAATGAATGAGATTGTTGCAGTTTATCAGCAACTGTATAGTTTCTGAACAAAAGAAGTAAGCAGATACTATATGAATCAAATGTGTCCCACATGTCAAGAATAATTTGTAAAGATTCTTACTGGTTGATTTAACTTAGTGGATTTGCAGAATATTAGCATCTGCATGGTTTCTGGAGAAAAAGTAATCAGAGATAAATTTTCTATGAATCAAATATGTTCCACTTGTCCTGAATAATTTGTCAAGATTCTTACTTAGTGAGCTATCATCTCAACTTATGACTCCATTTGTGTGTCATAAAGACACTGATAACAAGGCCATTTTCCACTTGCTGATATCAGGTAGACCATATATTGGTTGGAAGCCGTCACTATTAAGTATTACCTACACTTCTGGTGTGCAAATTCTGATCTTTCAGTTTTTAATTTATGCAAGAAGCTATTAGTACTTGAATGTCATTGCTGTAACGATAGAACTTTACTGCTGTATGTTTTGGATTATGTAATTTTATATAACAGCATTAACCATTTTCACAGAAAACCAGCTGAACTTCTTGAAATCGGTTCTGTTTTACAAGACAAGATTCCAGTAGTTAAGAGGTTTTCTGGAGGTGGCACTGTAATTGTCGATCACCAGACAGTTTTCATCACTTTCATATGCAACACAGATGCTCTCCCTAGTGTACAACCATATCCTAGGCCCATCATGTCATGGAGTGGCCAGCTGTATAGCAAAGTGTTTCAAGGAGTTGGGGATTTCTCTCTTCGTGAAAATGGTAATTTTTTTGCTCAATGATATTTTTCATCACTGACTATCCAGCGTATTTGAAGGAAGTGTTGCGCGTTTTCTTCTTCAAGATCCAAAAAAGAAAAGAAAAGAGAGAGAGAACACTTCACTTTTCACTTGTCCAAAGAAGAAAAAACTACTTGATTATAAACTTTGTTAAGGAAGAAACACTTGCTTATCCTTTGCTGTATGGTATTGTTTGCACAATATACTAGAAGTTATTTGACTAACAAAAAGAAACTGGAATAATTTGGCCGACAATGTAGTTGTGCATATACCGGGGTCTAGAAATTAAGGTTGAGTGTCAGTCTGACAATTTATAGTAAGCACTTATTCTATGATGGTGATTGTCCTCAGATAAAACTTTTACGCCACACTCATGACTCATCAAGGGAGCTTCCTTTTATATAGATTTAATTGTTTCTGGTATATAAGGTTCAAAATCTTTCTTGCTAACTTCCTGACAAGAAAGATCACATTCATTGGATGACCACTTGGATGCTTCTTTTTCTACATTCTTATTTCTTATTGTCAGCAATGTTATATTTTTTCCTCTCTGTGCTGTTGGTTCCCATTTCTATGTACACTGTCTTACTTAGCCTTATAAGAATGGTGAATACTACCCCCCACCTGTCACTATCCATCTGACTGCTTGATTTTTTCTTCTTTTTTTTTCATCTCCCACATTAATATGACTTGAGGAATTATTGTTTCATGTTTTACTCATCAACTTTCTTAGATAACCACCTTCATATTGTACTACTACATGATCACAGACTACGTTTTTGGTAACCGCAAGTTTGGGGGAAATGCTCAATCTATCACAAAAGGGCGTTGGGTTCATCATACGTCTTTTTTGTGGGATTATGAGATGATGAACATGGGTTATCTCAAACTTCCAAAACGAGCTCCTGACTATCGACAGGTCTGCTTATACTTTTGCAAGTTCCTTGTCTACTTGTTAGATAATCTTGTGAGCATGTTTTTAAAGAACTTGATGATGCAGCTCATTTTTTGACATTGTTTTTTTTGGAACACTCTCTGTTGGCAGAATAATTTCAGTCGTGTTTAAGATTGATGCCAAACTTTCATTCTTATTGTATGTTGCATCATATGGGACAGCTATGTAATTAACAGAAGGATATTGTTCAGGTAGTCATTAGTAGAATATATTCATAGCCAATTTTTCTCTTCCCTCCAACGTATAGTACATTACTACATTCTATAGGGAATAGTAATGAATTCTTGCACTGCATGAATCTTCTTCTTAGCCTGATGGTGTCAATACCTGTAAGTTAATTCTGACATCGTGGTGAAAAGATGAAGCATGGGTAGCTTCTCCATTTGCACCTTTTGATCCTTCTTGTACTCTGCTCTCTTATCTTTAATTACATTTGCACAAGTAATAATTACTCTGGTAATGTCTTGACTGCTGCATTATACCATCCCATAATTGTAGAACATGTTTTAATTTTATTTGACTTTGCAATTTGCTTGATGTTGTTTTCTCATCGATGATAGTACTGTAATCCTGAGGGATTGTAGTCTAAGATGCACACTGTTCAATTAGGAAAGTATTCAACTTCTAGGTTTGGAGGATATGGGAAGGAATTTGTTATAAGTTGCAAAAGCTTGATGATTATGCAAGTGAATGTTGAAGTTCTGGTACAGTTGACGGTGGTACCTTTTGTTGAGATAATTCATATTATGTTGATGATTCTTCTCACATGGTGTCAGGTTCTTGTTACCATTTCCCAATCTAGTTCAATGCTCGTGACTTTTTTTTTTTCTCAACGTAAGTTGAGTTAAATATTCTCATGCCTAAGTCTATAGAAGTTCCAAGTATATGCAAACTCATAAACTACTTGACAATTTCTTCACTACTTTTTGTTTGCAAAAGTTACTTTTCTGATGCACATTGAAAATTTGCTTGCTAGTCTCTGAGAGAGTGTTCCTATTGGTTATTCAGGCAAGAGACCATTCAGACTTTATTTGCCGCATGAAGGATTATATATCTCGACAAGAATTCATCAATAGAACCATTTCTGCACTTGGCAGCCAGTTTAGCATAACTCCTCCGGAGCTTGAATCATCTGACTGTCCTGATGACACGAAATTCGTGCCCTCCACTAGACTACTAGGAAAACAAGAACTGGAGGAATGTTTTGAGTCTGAATCTGGGAATGTCATACTACAGTCACTGTAACTGCTACAGGATCTTTGCTTGATGGTGCTACTGTATGCCAATGTACCATAATTGATTATTCGCTCGAGAAATACTTTCCCAACTCATTCATGTTGCTACTTTGCTCAGACGAAACTACTGAGAAGAACTACTTTTTTACCATTGTGCTAAGCAGTGGGCATTGTCTGTAAGTCCTCCATTGTTTGTATACTGCTCTTTTAACTTAGCACATGACATGATAACTTTACAGTTGTATCCCATTTGAATTTGGACGATCAGGCCCTTGCATTTGCGAGGATCATCAAAACACCTAGAATATAACATGACCATTTCAGCGCATCATTTCCAGTTTCGCCACTTGAAATTTTAGCCACCTTTTATTCCTTGTATTGTCGCATCATTTATGTCAATATCTATCATATCATACATTATTATAATCATATATTATTATAAGTGGGAAAATTAAAAACTCAAAGTTGAATTATCATTTTATCCTTATATTAAAATAATTAGAACAAATGTCATAAAATATAATTAAAAATTTAATAAATAACTCATTCAAATCAGCGTATGAATTAAATTCACATTAATAATTAATATTCTATTTTATTGTAAAAATCAAGAGTATACAAAGAGTTTTCTTTAAATAAATTTGATTGGATTAAAATCATCGAATTAATTTAATGCAAATTAATTTTACCTATTCAAAAGTTATCCTAGCTACTGCTATAAAATACGTAGCATGGTCTTTATGTAAGTGATAAGAGGAGGATGACCATTTGCGCCGAATTTACCATATTGAGGAATCATCAGAAAGGACCTGATAGTACCATTCGTGCTGTGTATATAGCTCCACTAGAGACTCTTGCCAAGGAGCGGTTCAGTGATTGGAAGAAGAAATTCGGAGACTTTATCTCGTCGCTGGAAACTGCGCAAGCATGTTCAGCAAGTCAGCCTTTTCATTATTAATGAGTTGCACCTGATTAGTGGTCAAGGTGGCCCAGTCCTGGAGGTGATCATCTCTCGGATGAGATATATCTCAAGCCAGGTTGAGAACAAGATCCGCATCGTCGCTTTTTCAGCTTCCCTATCTAATGCCAAGGATTTGGGAGAATGGATTGGGGCTACATCTCACGGGCTCTTCAACTTCCCTCCTCCTGTCAGGCCTGTGCCACTGGAAATACACATTCAGGGTGTTGATATTGCAAACTTTGAAGCTAGGATGCATGTCATGACAAAACCCACATATACTGCAGTAGTCCAACATGCAAGGAAAGGAAAACCCGGCAATTGTGTATGTTCCCACAAGGAAGCATACTCACTTGACTGCTCTAGACCTGATGACACATTCAAGCATGGACAGCGAAGACACGCCTATATTTCTTCTACGATCTTCAGAAGAGCTGGAGCCTTTTGTTGACAGGATCAATGAACCTATGCTGAAAGAGACGCTCAAATATGGCGTGGGCTACTTGCATGAGGGATTGGCTTTTTCGCCAGGTTTCATTCGATTTGTTGTGGATTGGCGACACTGATCAAGATATAGTAAAGACATTGTTTGAAACTGGATGGATTCAAGTGTGTGTAATGAACAGCACAATGTATTGGGGAGTACCACTATCTGCACATTTGGTGGTGATCATGGGAACACAGTACTATAATGGTAGGGAATATGCTTACACTGATTATCCAGTCACTAATTTGTTGCAGATGATGGGTCATGCCAGTCGGCCTCTTGTAGATATCTCTGGGAAGTGTGTCATCCTCTGTCATGCACCACGCAAGGACTACTACTACAAGTTCTTGTATGAAGCATTCCCAGTTGAAAGCCATCTGCAATACTATCTCCACGACAGTTTGGATGCTGAGGTCGCTACTGGAGTTATTCAGAACAAGTAGGATGCTATTGATTACCGTACATGGACCTTCATGTACAGAAGGCTGACACATAATCCAAATTACTACAATCTGCATGGTGTTAGTCACAGGCATCTGTCTGACCACCTATCACAACTGGTGGATAATACTATCAGTGACTTGGAGGCAAGCAAATGTATCACAGTTGAGGATGCCTTTTTGCTTTCACCTTTGAATCTTGGCATGATAGCATCATATTATTGTATCAGTTGCACGAGTTTTAGCTCTTCTATGACCTCCAAAACGAAGTTGAAGGGCTTGCTGGAAATATTGGCTTCATCATTGGAGTATGAACAGTTGTCTATACGACCAGGTGAAGAGGAGTTGATAAGAAGGTTGATTAATCATCAGCGTTTCTCTTTTGAGAATCCAAAGTACACAGATCCAAACATGAAGGTTAATGCTCTTCTACAAGCCCATTTCTCTAGGCAAGTGGTGGGTGGAAATCTTGCTTCTGACCAGCAGGAGGTGCTTGTTTCTGCTACTAGGCTGCTTCAAGCACTGGTTGATGTTATTTCCAGCAATGGATGGCTGAGTCTAGCAGTTCTAACAATGGAGGTGAGCCAGATGGTGACTCAGGGTATGTGGGAATGTGACTCTATTCTTCTCCAGCTTCCACACTTCACAAAGGAATTAGCACAGAAATGCCAAGAAAATCCAGGAAAGAGTGTTGAGACAGTGTTTGATTTAGTGGAGATGGAAGATGACGAGAGGCGTGAGCTCTTGGAAATATCAGACCTACAGCTGATGGATGTTGCACAGTTCTGTAATTCGTTGCCAAACATTGATTTGACATATGATGTGCTTGGCAGTGATAATCTGAAGGTAGGAGACAATGTAAGCGTGCAGGTAACCCTTGAGCGAGATCTTAAGGATAGAACATAGGTTGGACCTGTTTTTGCAGCCAGATATCCCAAATGATAATATGGTGGCTTGTTGTTGGTGATACAAAGAGCAACCAATTACTTGCCATTAAGAGAATTTCCTTCCAAAGGAAGTCTATGTTCAAGCTGAATTTTTGCTTCGCCTGTAGAAGCTGGAACAAGGGCCTACACACTCTACTTTATCTCTGATTCTTATTATCTGGGATGTGATCAGGAATATATTTTTACTCTTGAAGTTCAAAAATTAGTTAATAACTAACTAACCTACTTCAAGAAGTCTGTATATATATACTTAATAAAGGAACTGCAGGAGAAGTCTCAAAAATAATTGCTTCTTCTTCCTCCTCGTCTATCTCTGCTTCTTCTTCTTCAGTTTTATTCTTCATAAACTAGAGAAATCATTCCATCGTACTTAAAATGATTAAGCAGGTATCAATTTTTCTTCATTTCTTTGTTTCTGAATAAATTACACACAGCAATCAACTACTTTTATTTTTCTTCAGTTCAAGTATTAATTGTTTGAATATGGATTTTTGGTTATCTAATACAATATCTTTCATGAAACTTTATAGGTGATTGATCATATTTGTAGTTTTTGTTTTCTAAAGTAAAATAAAGATAATTGGTTTTGTGTTAGACGGTTATAAAACAATTAAGAGCTGAAAAGTACTTGATTTCAAGAAAGTGAAAAAAAAAACAACTTTCCATGTTTCTCCATTTGTAGGTACTTGAAAGAATTCAATAGGTATAGATTTTTCTTCACAGCAATGAACTATTTTTTTCTTCAGTTCTATAAAGTATTAATGGTTTCAAACATGAATTTTTGGTATCTAATACAATATATTTCATAAATGCTTTACTCCTACAAGTGTTTCTGTCAAATATTTGATTTATACAATCATTTCATAGAGGACAAAATGTACTTTTGTCAAATATTTTGATTCTGCTTGTTCTGCTTCTTGGTTGAATGCCCTCCTGCAGAAGCACAACCCCTATTCCCTGCATGTATCTGTTTCTGTCTGTAAACTTCTTGTCAATTTCTTTTGCAGGCAACATGCCACCCGCAACACCCTATTCCCTGCATGTATCTGTTTCTGTCTGTATTCTTGGTTGAATGCCCTCCTGCAGAAGCACAACCCCTATTCCCTGCATGTATCTGTTTCTGTCTGTATTCTTGGTTGAATGCCCTCCTGCAGAAGCACAACCCCTATTCCCTGCATGTATCTGTTTCTGTTTGTAAACTTCTTGTCAATTTCTTTTGCAGGCAACATGCCACCCGCAACATGGGTACGCCAAATGATTTGCCAGGACTTGTCTACACATTTTCCTTAAATACATATTTTCCTTAACGGCTTGTATTATGCTTGGAAGATTGCTTTACAACTTTGCTTGGTGCTTTTGCAAATGAGGGGCACATTTATTTATACTACTTCCTAGGGACTAAAGTACAATTACTATTTACTTTACAAGTCCCTAAAATATTTACACTTTGGTCCCGTTTCTAGAGAATTCTATACTACCTTGGGACCTTCTTTAGCCTTCTTGAGAGTTCTAAAATGTTCTAGAGTCTTCCGCAAACCTCTAGAACAATATCTGCCCCTTTCCGGACACAAAATTAGGCGGAAATTGTGGCGGGACGTCGCACTAGTCTGTTTTCAAAACTCGTTTTGGTGGAAGAAAACCCCTTAGTTAGTCCAAAGGTTCTATCCTAAAAGTTTTGATGATAACAAACTTATAGCGTTCAAATCTTGTGATTGTAGTGATAACCAGAAACTCACAAGTAAGTCCACATTCAAAGCCAAGATTGGATCAAAAGTATATAATCAATTTTTTGCTGAATTATAGTCAACCACAGGTGGTATGTTACAGTCATGGTTGCTATCCATCCGGACTTATATTAATCATTACATGAAAACCAACTGATGGACAGACAGAAAGTTGTTTGGAAGGTTATCTGCAATATTTGACAATCATCAGTAAGTCAAAGGAATTGGTTACATAAGGCTGAGTGTTTCCATTGGCAAATGCTTAAACCCCGGTGCAGTCAGAACAAGCCAGGATGAAGTGGTATGGTGACCTTAGGGGGACTGAGAGACATGGAAACTAGGTTTACCCACAGGCAGACTTGTATGGCCTTGAGGAGAAGTCTTAAAGATTTGTTTGGTACTGTGGTAGACAAACTTAAGCTACCGTGTTCCAACAAAACACATATAAACATCTGTTCAGCATACATATCAAATAAAAATTGAATCTTTGTATGAGGTTCAAAACATCAACTCCAGAAAACAACAGTTTTATAAATTAACGCAGGGAACAAATAGATATAGTTGAGTCCAGTCACCAGAAAGAGTCAACAAATATTTCTCTGCACATGCTTTTACTTCACCAGTGAATTGGGAGGGGCAGGAAGTTAAAAAAAGCTTATTTGCTGAAAAAGGTGATGCTTTTGTTCTTTCTGTTTCTGAAGGGCATGGACTTTCATGTAATAACTCCAATATGTGAAGCTGGAGTCGGAAATCATCAACCACAGAAGAACTCAAAAGACTTCACTGCATCTATATTATGTCATCTGTGAGCTCTAGAGCGACCAGCCGATAAGTTAACTGGTCCGGTGTATTATAATGAGTTTTAGTTCATTATAATGTCTTGCACGAAAGGACTCTTGGAGTTCTAAATTTGCATTGAGGCAGATGCAGGGAACAATCCAGGTTACTTCTCATGTTTTTTGGTGGAAGGAAATATCACCTGCATGATTTTTGAGGGTAGAACTAAAATTTGAAGGTGAAAAAAAAAACAGAATTATCCTAAAATCTTTAGAAGAACACAAATTTGAATTTTCTGTTACAATTTCTGAGAGGAAAAAAAAACATGGTTGTACATGTTGAATTCATCTTTCTCATTATGTCATCCTTTTCAAGGCAAAATCTTTGAAGTCGAGATCATTTAATCCTGTGTGAATTTACGAGTTGTCTCCAAGTGATAAACATTGTTAGCTTTTAGTTTCTGTTAGGTGATAGAATAGTGTATTGAAGTATGATAACACAACAACTGTTGTTGAACTCAATACCATCTAAGTTTTCTTATTGTCTTTGTCCACTCTATTTTATTTCGTAGGACTGGGCAGGTATAGGTGCAGATGGAGGAGGAGCTAGACTTTAATCTATCCCAAAACACTTTCTTCGTGTGTTTCAAAAGGTTATAAAACAAAATATGATACCATTGATTTGGATTATGTTTTTGCGGAGATAAATTTTACCTTGTAAAGTTGTGATCGATAAAAAGATAAATTTAAAGTAAGAAATTTTGATTAGAACACAAATTGTACTTAATCAATTGGAATTTAATACTCTTTGTTTTGTGGTCCAACTCATAAAGAAGGAAAAATGAGCTCACAGTGAGTTTCAAGTTTTCAATTAAAAAAATAGCACTAAGTGGACCCTTTTTTTTTTACATTAATAAAAAAGAACTAAATTAAGTAACATTTTTCGTAGTTGTCTAGCCAATCACTAAAGTTGTCTTGAAGTTGTCGAACAACTAAAGAAGTTGTCCCGACAATTACAACAGTTGTCGGACGATTAAAAAAGCTGTCCCAATAACTACGACAATTGTTGGAGTAAAATGTAAAAATAAAAGTTTGGAACTACTGTGAAAACATCTTTTAATATAATATATATACTCATTATTTGTCACTTTTACCTAATTTTTAAAATTTGACAAACTAGTTTGTCCCTTTTAATAGACCTTTCCGTTTTAAATTATAATTTATTTATTTAAAAAAAATCTTATAAAATTTTATGTCTAATTAACTTATCTCGCATAAAGTTGAGATCAAGATATCTATATTGAAACAAAATGAGTAAACTCAAATCACATCAAACTAAAATGATCTATTAAGTATCTAGAAGGTTTATTAAATCAAACAAATTTCAGAATTTGTTTCAAACGGATTTACTTTTTGTTTTGCAAATTGAAAAGAGAGCACTTGTTATTTTTATTTTTTTTGCTATAATGAAATGTCTCAAAAGTCTTAACATTTTCCTTTGAATGAGATGATATTTTAGAGGCCTCTAAGTTCAAGCTTCTAAATAGAGTCGATTTTGGAATGGATGTCACTTCAAAATGAAATTTTCACTAAAAATTTGAAGTATTTTGTTGATCAACAAGAGCACCAAGGAAGTGCACCAATGCACACAAAAAAGATCATAGAAGCTATAAAGTTACTGAACAAGATGAGAAAATCAAATAAGGCGTATACCATCTTTCAGAATTTCAAATTATATCTTGAACATGTAACCAAATTCACTTGAAGTACATTTACATGTAGCGTATACATGTTTTCACAAACCACAGAAAAACTTTCAATCTCCGAGTAATAAGGAAAACAAGAGAAACACAAGATACCCTTCATTCATAATGCACATTCAAACCAGCAATATTATGGCTCTACACAGCAAAAAGGGGAAGGTTCAATTGAAAGAGTTTTGGCAAGCTGGAAACAAAATGTAAAATCCTTCAAACAGCTTGGGGTTTAATGATCCTGGTGATTCACAAAATTTTCCGCTAGTTTATTTTCTTTCTTTGCTTCTTTTTGTTGCCTTTCTTATCGGGGCATGTGCTTAGAGCAGTTCTTCACATTAAAAAGAGTGACTCATAAAATTCAATCTCTTGGACGCACAGTTCTCTTATCAAACTCCAAGACAATGCTTCAGCTCCAAAGATTAATCAACCTCTTTGTGATGCTTAATACAACAAAGGTAATGAGACATAACGGGCTAACAAGATTAGAATCACTTGAAATCATACAAGTCCAGATATCAACTCTAAATAGGCAGATTCACTAACAATATTTCTGGTCTCAATTGCCATTTTTGAAAAGAAAAAAAACGTCTATCAAAGAACACCTACAGTGGCAGAACCACATTAAAGCAAGGGGATTCATATGATACCCCTTGCTCAAAACATTTACTTATTATACATGTAAATTACAAGCCAAAAATAATAAAATGCATGATATACAAGGGTTGAATCCCCTGGACTTGAAACACAAGCTTGATATAGTCTAATTATATAAAAGTTAGATCGGGCTTGATGAACTGCACCAACACCTCTCCCCCATACCCCAAATTTGCTCAATCTTATATTAGTAAGGGTCAACTATATGAATAAATTGCGTCAGTTCTACTCTATTTAACTCCATTTCTGCATGCTAAATAGAGTAATGGACACATCCTAATGAAGAGTAATCAAATTATCTTAACACCGGCTGTCAACCTATCAAACCCTCCTCATGGCCATCATCAATACACAACCCTCCATGCCCTCGTACCTCAAGTTGGATAACTTTCAAATAGTTCAAAGGGAAATGCTTCAGCAATTTCATTTGTGGAGTGATTTTTCCTCCTTTTATGTTTATCTCGTTTAAAATAGATTCAGATTCTTCACTCTGATCCAGTTAGTACAATGACTAAAAAGGTATCTACTTGTTCTGGCATCCTTCATCTTTGTTTTGTTCTATATCATCGGATTTAGAAATAGGTGCTTATGCGGGTTTATACAGAGAACACAGAAAACTTAAACATGGATAAGAAAGGGAACAATGTTCTTCCAAGATAACCTAACAAAATTCAAGTATAATGCAGAGCAACTTTAAACCCAAAACATCTCCAATGATACCAAATACTCAAATTCACTTCAAAAATGAAATTTTTTTCTTACAAGCAGAATAGTATAAGAAGTAACACTAATATCAATTGTTCAACTTCATGTCATCGAAACATAAATTTCAATCAGATTCCCAACAACAGAAGATCTCAAATAATACCAATTAACAAATTTACCCCAAAAATAACATTTTTTTCCTTCTTAACAAAAAGTTCAACAAACTTACAAGTCAAATACATCAGTGATCTTCCGAAAAACTCGTACTAGCTTCTCCTCCATGATCCTGTTTAGAACAGCAATGATCCCCATGATGATGACTCTTTGATGGGTCATTTTCTTTGTCATCGGCATCATCATCATCGCTATCGTCTTCATCAAAAGGCTTTTCTTTGTGGAAAATGCAACATTTCTTGGAACTCTTCTTGTTGAGGAACTCGTTGTCCACAGTTCCTGCTTTCCACGACACTCTCCTCTTCGGCTTCAATTTCAAAGTTAGGGTTTCGATTGGTTGCTGCTGTTGTGACGATGATGATGATGGTGCAGATTCCGATGGGTTTCCTAGGGTTAAGGTTACCGTCGATGTCCCGGTCGCCGGCTGTGCAATTTCCCTCGTCCTTGTGGCCATTTTCCCGATTCTAGCCGTCTCTTTCCCCTTTCTCTGACTTGTGTTTTTTTCTCTGGTAAATAAGAGAATGTAAATTGGTTTTTAACTATAAAACTTAAATATTTGTCACTATACTTTCGTCAATAATTTACATTTCTATGTCGATTTTACTTTTGTTATTTGCATTTAACATATTTTTGAAAATTATTAAATTTAATAAAATCAAAGGATAATATAGTAATATTATATTTATTATTTATTGTTTCTCGAGGAGTGTATTAAGTTATTTTTTTTTATTTGTTCCTAATTATTTATCTATTTTGAGAAAATAAGAAAAGACAAATTTTTTTACCTATTATACACTCAATTAACGCTTTAAAAAAAATAGAGTTATTTGAAATCTTAAGTTTTTAATTCATCCATATTATAATTAATAGGGATATAACGATTAATATTACTATGTTAATTATCATTTTCTTAATAGATGTCAATTGTAATTAAGAACTATTCTTGGACGAAAAAGTATTTTAATTACTCCCTCCTATTTAACACTTAAGCTTACAAAAATTATGTCAAAAATGTTTTTGAGCTTATTGAGGACATTACATATGAGTATGTTTGAAGGTCCTGAATTAAAATAGAAAATTAATTAATAGTTGATTATTTTCTTGTTTTCTGCTTGATAGCCATAGTAGTTGTACTTAGATCTCTCTTTTTATTGTTGGTATTACTATTATTTTCGTAACTTTTTGCTTTTTAGATATTATTGTTTTTTTATATTTTGAATATCATATTATTTTGTTGTTATACTGTTCATTCTTATGTATGTTGTATATTGTCTTTTGTTGTTATTCGTCCTTATTTATGCATTTCATTCATCAAACTGATTAGATATACTTTATTTTAAGTATGTGGTCTATCAAAATTAACTTTGTATCAATAAGATTTACGTATACCTTCCTTCAGATTCTCCTTATAAAATTATACTAAATATATTATTATTAAAAAAATAATTTATTTTCATATTGCTCAAAACTTAATATCTAATAAATAGAGGTGATATAGTAAATCAGAAATATATTATTTTTATGGGTAAGTTGTACCATGTAGTAATGAACTTTTAACAAATAATTCCCGGCTCTAACAATGTGGTGATAAAAAGAGTACTAACAAAATGTTGTATTAACACTTCAACAAACAATTAGCTTGAAGCAAGTCGGTTATTATTTTTAAAATATAAAATATATGTCTAAATACTAATATATTATATTTAGCTTTGTATATTAAATGATCAAAGATGATTTTTTTTCTACCATCAAATTTTATAATTTAATCTTAGTCAATAAAATTATACATAGAAAAATTTAATAAAATATTTTAAAATATTATATAAAAATTAGAACGTAAGATATTAATAAAATACTTTTAAATAGTAAAAACTTTCTAGAGAGTTTTTGTCAAATTATTATGAAAATATCACGTTTTGACTGTTATTTTTAACTTTATATATTATTTTGAAAAGTAACAGAAATTAATGAAATTATATACATATTAATTTTTTGAGATGATAATAATTTCAAAAAGTTTAATTCTGATCTTACAAAATAAAACAACCACAAAAGTAAGTATGATATCAAATTTATATTATAAACTATATAAAATAATCAACGATCATTTTATTGACATTTTTTATTTAAATGAAAGACTTTTATTCGAAGCAAATGATTCATCTTATAAGTAATGATCTTAATCAAGTAACTAACAAAGCATTTGTTTTTCTCCTATTATTAAACCTTAACCTATATAAAGAATGTTAAAATATCTTTCAGCTCTCTTAATCTTTTTTCATCAAAAAATTATTATATATTAATTTATTATGGACATAATATGTCAAAAGAAAAGTTCAGCATCATTTAAAATCTAAGTAGGGAACAACAGTCTTTCCCATGAAAATTCAATCGACAAAGAAATTGAGAACTTAGCTTGAGAGCTACAACATTACAATATGTTATGCTTTAGAGATGCAGACACATTTCAAATATCTTTACAAAACTATATTTGTATCCCAAGCAGTCTTCACGTTTTTCTTCAATACGTCTACATTACATTTGGCATCAAAGAAGACCTGGAGCTTTTATTCCACAAACAAAACAAAAACAAGGTTGATTTTTAGTAGTAATTCATGAGACCTCGAATTTCCACGTTCCAGCGTACATATGCCAACAGATGTTATATCGCTTTTTCTATATATTTTCTTATTGCTCACGCTTCAACAATCATAGATTTCCCAAAAAATTGAATTGGGGATCTTTGTGCATGAAGCAAAACACTCTTTGATATCCATAGCAACCAAACCAAAGGTTATCTTCTTTGATTCAACTTCAACAAACATCAACAAACAAGTAGATCTCATCATTGAAAACTTTTTACTTTATAGATGATCTAAATAATTTATCGTACGTAACACTCTATTATCCTTATTATGCCTACCGTATCCCACACCCATTTTTCATTGTCTAATTGAAATTCTTTAATATCGTTTCTTCTTCGCTTCTGGATAGTAGTCATAAGAAAAAATGATGAATTTCTATCACCTTCTTTTAATCATAGAGCTCTAAATTTTTATTTTTTGTATATGGTGCGAACATCCTTTTACAAAATTAAAATCATTTCATATATTAATTAACAATATCAAAATATCTTTCATATCCCTCAATCAATATCAACCAATCTGTATATGATAGTGAACACTCTTTCACCAAATTAAAACCATTTCATATAATTGTTAACTAAGTGTCTTACCACATCTTAGGATATTCTTTTCTATGATTCTTTTTTTTCTTACGTTTTTCACAAATTAGTTAGACAAATTCAAGATTTCAACTAAGCAAAAAAAGGGGAAAAATTGAGGCTCAGATGTGAATTTTATCATCTAATTTATCAGACTAGGTTGAGACCCTCTTATCTCACCAATTGCACATTAATCATCACAGCACTCAAATGATTGCACCAGCCGGGAATCGAACCCGGGTCTGTACCGTGGCAGGGTACTATTCTACCACTAGACCACTGGTGCTTGTTGTTTTAAAACTACAATTTAATATTTTAATATATCTTAACTTTTCAATTATTCATATTGTATAAAATAAAACCAGGTTGACCTAGTATTCTTTTTGATTTGCAGTTCTAGATAATAATATCTAATGAATTGATTTGACGAAAATAAAATAACAGATAATCTACATCATTAACCCACATATGAAGTTCTTTTTTCCTTTTGAGAATTTTGTGTTTGTTGACTTGAAGTAGGGTTGTGCATCGATTGATTCAGTTCGATTTGAAAGTTTATCAATTATTGATAGGTAGACATGTTAATTCATTATGGATATTGATTTATCCATTATTAATCGTTATCGATTTAACCATTAAGATTTATACACAAGTTTCTCTTTTATAAAAAATTATTTAGAAATAAGATGTCAAACTAAAATACCATGCATATGACTATTGAAAAACTGCATCTTGCTCAAAATCAAACACTGACACATTTTAGAATAATTGAGAGCTTGAGACCATTAGAAATAAATTAAACCCTCTGTTAAGGACTTTATGTATGGAATGATATAAATATAGTTTACTAATTTGCTATCTGGTTATCAGTTAACTTGTTAAGAAAATCTCAATCTGTTAAAAATCGATAGTCTATATTTAAAAAAATTAGAACCATTAAAAAAACTATTAAATCAATGATTCATTACAGATAAATCAATAATGTTTTTTTTCGATTCGAGTTTGAATAGCCCTCACTCAAAATTCAATTTAGTTGTATTGTATGTAAATTTTACATTTTTCACAAAAGAGTTTTAATCTTATATTTAAGAAATTTGAAAATAATAAATAAATAATTTATGTTAAATATAAATTTGTTAAAAGTCACAACAACAACATACGCAGTGAGGTATATCACTAAGTGGGGCCTGAAATGATAGAGTATATGCAGACCTTACCAAGTTACCATTATTTTGTACGAGATAGAGTATAAGCTTTTAGGCCTAAATTGAGCAACAAATGTAGGAATTGTAACTTTACGATTAAAGTAATTAAAGTTTAACTCTATTACGAATGCTAAAGAGAGAGAGAAAAACTCTTTACTGCCTCATAAATGTCTTTATCAATTATCTGTCAATATTTTTAAAAATATAGGAGTCCATCAATTTCATATGTTTTTTAAGGGATGCATCGGAAAAATAACATCTTTAGTCCCATCATTCAGTACTCTAACAAATCTCCTTTTCATAGATTCATTAAGTAAAATATATACATAAGAAATAATCTCTTTAAGTCATGTCGACCTAAATGATCTAAGCAAGTTGTCATAAAAACACTCTATTATCCTTATTATGTTTGTCGGATCCGACACCCATTTTTCATTGTCTAATTGAAATACTTTAATAACATATCTTCTTCGCCTCTAGATATTAGTCATGAAAAACTATGGATAGAAACCATATGAGAAAAGGATTAATTTTTGTCACCTTCTTTTAACTATATAGCTCTAAAAAAAAATTTTCTACATATACTGCTAACAACCTTTCATAAAATTTAAATTATTTCTTATACTAATTAACAATATTAAAATATCTTCCAGTTCCTTCAATCAATATCAACTGCAAATAATTTCATCAAATAAAAATCATTTCATATACTATCAACAAAATGTGATATCACATCTTAAGATAATCATTTTTATGATTTTTCTTTTTCTTACAATTCTCAATCCTTTCTTCTTCTTCAAGTATATTAAATCATTATTGAGGTCAAACAAAAACATGTAAAATAAATTTTAAATAGAAACTAAGAAAAAAGTGGGGAAAAATTTGAGGCTCAGATGCAATATTTTATCATCTAAATTATCAGACTAGGTAAAGACCCAAATCTCACCAATTTATGCATTAATCATCACGGCACTCAAACGATTGCACCAGCCGGGAATCGAACCCGGGTCTGTACCGTGGCAGGGTACTATTCTACCACTAGACCACTGGTGCCTGTTGTTTAACACCTTCAATTTATTTTATTAATTAAATAAACAAGTTACCATTTCAAATATGAAAATAAGATTAGGTTAAACTAGTATTCTTTTTAATTTGCAGTTCTAAATAATATATTTAATGAATTGATTTGACGAAAAATAAAAGGACAGATAATCTACCTCATTAACCCATATATGAAGTTCTATTTTTCTTCTAAGAATTTGTGTTTGTTGAGTAGGGTAGTGTGTCGCTTGATTTGGTTCGGTTTTAAAGTTTATCGATTATTGATATGTAAAAATGTCATTTCATTATACATATTGATTTATTGATTATTGATCGTTATCGATTTAATCATTAAGATTTTTTATGCAAAAAAATCTAGAAATAAGGTGTCCAACTAAAATACTATGCAAATAAGTGAAAATTGCAACACTAACACATTTTAGAATAATAGAGAGTTTAAGACTGATTGAAATAAACTAAACCTCATGTCAAGGATTTTATATACTAATGATATAAATATAATTTACTAGCGGGTTATTAGTTGACTCGTTAAAAAAGCTCAAACTGTTAAGAATCGACGATGATCTATATTAAAATAATCATAACCATTCAAAAAAGTTACTGATTAAATATTCATTACATATAAATCAATAATATTTTTTCGATTCGAGTTTGAATAGCCCTAACTTGAAATTCAACTTTGTTGTATTGTATGTAAATTTTACATTTTTCACAAGAGATTTTTATTTTTATATTTAAGAAATTTGAAAATGATAAATAAATAATTTACGTTAAATACAAATTTGTTAAAGAATCACAACAACATACCCAATGAGGTATGCCACTAAGGGGTCGTTTGGTACAAAAATGAATAATGCAGGGATTAGCAATGCAGGGCTTAGTAATGCAGGGATTATTTTTACGAAATGTTTGGTTCATTGTTTCTTATCTAATTTTGTGTGTGATTTAAATGTTTTTTTTTTAAAAAAACTTTCCAATTATACCCTAGAGTTATTATGAGATATTTCGTGTAATTGAGTCAAAGTAGATAATTAACGGAGAATATTATTTTTTTATAACATTTTTAATTAGTTAGGAGAATAAAAATTTTATTGTCATGTTCACTATTTTCTCACTTAAATTATTTGAGAGTAAATAATTGTCATCTTAATAAATTAGAGTTAATAACTCAAAAGGTCACACAACTATAATGATTATAGAGAAAATTTATTGAACTTTGTTTTGTATCAATAAATTTTAAAAAACTCTTTATCATAAAATAAAATAAAAATATAAAATAAATATAGAAAAATAAATTAAACTATTTTTATACTCGAGATGTATGTGTGTGTATATATGTATACACACTCTTGTTTTAGACTACTTGTGTAATTTTTAATGAACTTTCATTAAGAGACAATATTTTACTTGGAATTGTTCTTAAATTCATACATCAACATTAACATATTAGTCGGATTATAATATTTTATATTAATAATAAATAGATTAAGTAATTCATATTTTAGAAACAAAAAATTATATCTAAATAATAAAAGTTGTAAGCTAATTTATTTAAATAACTTTATTAGTATAAATATAAAATATAAAATCAAAAAAATAAATTAAATATTAAAAGGATTTGAGGGGTATTTTTGTCTTTACCTAGAATAGTCCATGGTATTAGAGCTAATACCTCCAAATGGAAGGTATTAGCAATACATCACATAATACCATGTGGGATGTATTAACTAATCCATGGATTATTTATACATAGGCTTACATTCCTACCAAACACAGTATTAAATTATACCACATCTAATACATGGATTATTTCTTTCAATACATCCTTCCAAACGCCCCCTAAGTGAGTTTCTGAATGATAGAGTGTATGTAGACTTTATCATTTAGAAAGTTTCTCGTTTCAAGTGCATCAACAAACTACAAGAAGAAGAAGTAAGAAAACATATCAGTTAATAAGAAAAATATTGTAGAGTTTAATTTACAAGAAAGAAACAATAACATCAACAAAATAACTTTATAATTGAAACACAATAAACAATATATGACAAGAACTACGAGTGTACGACTAGTATTAGGCAACAATCTTCACAAAGACAAAACATCACTCAATTTCTACTGACCTTCTATCCTAATATGTGACCTCCGCTCCTTCCTATCCAGAGTCATGTCCCAGTTCTAAGAAGATACACCATTTCTTGTTTAACCACCTCTCTCTCAAAAAAAAAATTAAATTCAACCTACCTTCTACTCCTCCGCTTACGCCTTGTAACCAAACCAGTCTCTCGCGCTTCTTCATTAAGGCATCATCACATCTCCTCTTCACATATCAAAATTATCTTAGTCTCACTTCTCTCATATTGTTCGTCTAGAGGCCACTCTAACCTTTTTAAATTTGTTAAGAGTTACGTATACTAATTCTTAAGGGATCGTTGAAGTAGTTTGTTATAGATGAGCTATGAGTACGCTATACTATGTTTGGTAAATTATTTATAGACAAATTAATATTTGATTTGTAATTTGAAAACTGACATAATAAAAACAATGTATAAATTACCGGAGAAGGTAGTTATTATTTTACCAATATGTGAAATAATTATATAACTAATAATTAAGTGTACCAAATTATCCCTAACTAGCTACCATAAATAAGAACCTTCTATTTATAGGCGTTGGAGCCTTTAACCCTACAAATTGTAAAAGAAAAAAAGAAAAACACTGAGATCTCTATTTAGCACGGAGCAGAAGCGCCATGGCTTCGTGCTGTTCATTGAGCTTCTCAACAGTCTCTTCAAAGCCTAACAAGCCTTACTCATCACCAATTTCTTCTTCTCTTGAGCTCCCCTTTACTTCCCAGTTGCCATTTTCTAAAAAATATTCACTTTATTCCAATCATACCCTTCTCCAAACTCAATGCCGGAAAACCCAATCACCGGATTGTCCCAGTTTCTTGGTACGTCTTGCAATTCTTTTGACACCCTTTTGATTTTCACGTTCAATTTTGAGTTTAGAAAAGTGAGCCCAGAATTTGAAATTAGTAATAGGTTGTATTGAACATAAATGTATATTGAAGAGTTTTACTACGCAGCTGTTGGTTTACAATATATTTCATGCTCAATCGAATGAGATGACTTGAAAGAGTTAGACTTTAGTTTGGGACTGAGATGTAGTTGATTGATTGTTTTTTTGGTATGGCTTTGTGTAGTGGCTGAGTTTTAGCCAAAAAGGGAAACTTGATTAGTGATTGAATTGTATTTTTGTGATTTAGGTTGTGGGATCTGCGAAAAAGCAAGAACCTTTGAGGGTAATGATATCGGGAGCTCCTGCTTCTGGTAAAGGAACGCAATGCGAGCTCATTACCAAGAAGGTAATGGTTCTTTTTTTTTTCTTCATAGGGACAAGTTGGTTGTTATGATCTTTTATGTTTGAATTATCTTTATGCTGTTCTATGTAGGTTTCTCTTTTTGGAATGGATGATGATCCATTGGGATTTTGGTTTTATAATTCTGAATATGAAATCTCTATTCTTGAAAGTTTATCTACTAATATAAATCGTCCCAATTTCCACTAATATGTGTGTTATAGACCAGGTTGTACAATATAGAGGTATACTTCCATTCATGACTTCTGACCATGGGTGTTTCTAAATTTGAGGACCAGTTTTTTACCATATTACTGGTATCATTCTACCCAGGACCTCTTATGACTTGACCCTTACTCCATTTGGTTCGTAGACTGATAACACAAGAACTGGTATGTGGGGATTGTTATACACTGATTGACAATACCGGCATGGTTAATACCAGTATTAGCTATGCATGTTGTATATCTAGTATAAGTCACAGGGTGATACACCTCTTTTACCACAGCCTAAAAAAGCAGAATTATCAGATTTATCTGCACTCTTGTAAACTAAAATCATCATGTAAATTTGTCCAGTTATCAGATTTGTCTTGAAAAGCATCTTACTAGCATCTGTTCAGCTGTTCCATATATTTACGTTATTTCCTTAGCATAACATGTATGTCTCCTATGTGTATTCTCTTACAATTCACTGGTACCTTGTTCCCTAGCCTCTTTATCTTGTTTATTATGAATTCTCATCTGGTTCCTCTAAATTCTCATTGGTGGGTTTGTAATATTTCCTTCAGCCGAAATTGTCCATATTATAATCAACTTTATCTTAATTATTAGCAAGTCCCTGCTACTTGAACTCACATTCTTCACATTTCTTGATTGATTTAGCTTTAGTTTGATTTCCATGCTCCTTATTCCTTCCCTTGTTTAACATGTAGTTGTAAAAAGGTATGTTGCTAGTAGCATTTGATGTTCCATTTCAAAAAATGTCTCTAGTTGCAGTCGATGTTAGTTGCTACCTTAATTACCCATTTTCCTTGTTATGTATTACCCTGTGAGAAGTAATAAATTGAATACCGTGAGCTCATATATGCAGTACGATTTGGTGCATATTGCTGCTGGAGATTTATTGAGGGCTGAAATTGCTGCAGGCACTGAAAATGGGAGGAGAGCAAAGGAGTATATGGATAAAGGACAATTGGTACCAAACGAGATAGTTGTAACGGTAGGTTTACCTGGCAAACTGGTTCCTGCTTTTGTTAGCATGCTATTTTAAAGGTTGAAAGAGATCATTAGAAAGAGTGTTTTATTCATATGTGATTTGTTGATTCCTTGTTTTAGATGGTCAAAGAGCGGTTGATGTGTCCAGACTCTCAAGAAAAGGGTTGGCTTTTAGATGGATATCCTCGGAGCTTGTCTCAAGCAGTAGCTCTCAAAGAGTTCCAGCCAAACCTTTTCATTCTTCTGGAAGTGAGGTTCTGCTATTGATATCCTCTGATTGTGTTCTCAATCTCTTTCTAGTTAAAGCCTTAAGAGGATGAAAAGGATCAACATAGAGTATCCTGCATTTAAAATTTACCTGAAAAAATCTTTGAACGGGAAAACTGTGCTTTTGGTCTGTGAAAACCTAATTTTAGCCTTCAATTGAGAGAACTGTGCGCTTTTGGTTCCTCCTCTAGCATATTTCCCTACAAGAGTCAGATTACTTCCTTAAAATGCAAAAGAGTATCAAAATAACTTTCTTAGCATAAAAGGTGAATAGTTGTATGGTTTAATAGTTGTACTTTCATGGAATTTATCAGTTGAGGGACCAAAAGCTGATACTATCAGTTGGAGGTTTAGTGGGCTTGACTGAATACTGTGATTCGTTAGTACCAAGATTACAACTTACAAATAACCAAAAAAAAATTATTTTTTTCCTTATTTTAAATATGATTAGTTTTTTCTGATTCTTTTTTGTTTCACATGTCGTATATTAAACTGCAAGAGGTTTCAGAATAAATGCACCTTCATCGAGTCATCAACCAATGTTTTAACTTTTAACAGGAACACGTTATATTGTAAATGATAGGTACCTGAAGAGATACTTGTTGAGAGAGTGGTTGGCCGTAGACTAGATCCTGTAACTGGGAGAATATACCATTTGAAGTATTCTCCGCCAGAGACCGATGAAATCGCTGCAAGGCTTACCCAGCGCTTTGATGATACAGAAGAAAAGGCATGTTAATGCATGAATACGTACATTATTGTTGCTACAACTGCTGTAGGGCTTTTCCTTTTGTATGAAGCTTTTAAATCACGTAAACTTTTTTAATTCTTATTTGGTGGAAGCCTACCGTTTGTCCCATTGGTCATTTCTTGACCTTCTAATCAAACCATTTTAATCTATTCTCCTCCTGGAAATTTTGTTGCAGGTCTCGAAATTTCCATTTTCAACTAAATCTTTCTTTTAGCTATTTCCTTTATCATTCTTGCTGTCCTTTTCCCTTGCTTACTCAAGTCGCTTTGTAGATAACTGACTTAAGTATAGGTTTCTATAACATTATAAATAATGTTGTGTGATCAGCTTCATTTTTGTCTAATTTCTTTTTCAATTTACCGTTTACAGGTGAAGCTGCGTCTGCACACTCACCGTCAAAATGTGGAATCAGTTCTCTCAATGTACAAAGATACTATATTCCAGGTATTCTTTTTGCCACAGATGTGGTGCAGTTGCTTCACTCGGGAATGCAGATTGAAACACTCATCAGTCACCATCAAAGTGTGGAATCATTCCTTATATACTTGATTCATAGTTTATTGGGTTGTTTGATGGTTTACAAGGTCTTGGTTAACAGGAATATAGTCCATAAAAGACAATGTGGAAGGGACTCGGTGGAAATGGTTCGATGAGAAAGTAGTTTGGTTTTCTATTTGGCAAAAGAACAATGATATGGTTATAAAATTTCGTTGTTTGACATGTAGGTTACAAAATGATTACTTTAAATTATCTTCAGTTCATCCAGGTCATCCTTCCTCATAACAGTTGTAAAACAAAGGAAAGCCAAAGCAAAAGGGCTATACATCCTCTTTTATCTTAAAATTTACTCAATAAGCTAAAGGAAGAGTAAATCCTTTTGAGTATTACATTCATACTAATCAATCTGGGGGGAAATATACTTAATCAAGGACTCCCCTTCCCTCTTCAATGAACAAGGATACTGTATGTTCTTTCTTTCCATACGCGTGCATGATCGTGTTGTTATCATTTCCTGGTGTTAAAACTTCCATCTTCTCTGAGCTATTTTAATTTCAGGTGGACGGGAGCGTTTCCAAAGAGGAAGTATTTGCTCAAATTGATGGTGCATTAACTCAACTTCTTGAAGCAAAGGAGTGAAGATTTGGAACCGTAATGTCATAGAGATCAGGAAAAATCTGCAGAATGTACCATGTAATACTCAGGAGGATCATCGAAGACAAAAGAGTAACATTGTTGGTTGCTATCCCTCTTATACAAATGTATGAAATGTTTATGTATATCGTATTTGCTTCCAACTATCTATGTGGATATTCATTGAATCAGATTCAAAGTTTACTACAAAACTTGTTTTGTTGTAAGGCCCAGCTCGCTAGTGATATTGTTAGCTTCGAGTTTACACCTATCCGGCTTTAAGACGTCATTAGGGTGTAAGACCTGCTTATTTATGTACTCAACATATCTCATGTATTTTTGCCTATTTGGGACTCTTAATCATGGACATAAATACCCAGATTTCTGATTAATCCAACTTCTGAAGTTTCCAATCACAGCAGAAAAAAAGTACATTTTATCTTACACAATTCGAACTTTTACATAAAGAAAGTGGAATATCACATCACATGGTATAAATTTATGTATATCAGATACCTAACACTAACTTGAGAATTATACTACAGAGCAACTATCAACAGGGAAACCCCAATATAAAAAAAAGAGAAACTAGACCTCAGAAAAATTGTTCCCTTTTTTCTCAGATTTGCTTGAAGATCTAAACGTCAAGGGTTCAGCATCGACGAGCATATTGACAACCTCTTTCATGCTGGGACGCAAATTAGGAAGCTTAGTAGTACAAAGTGTGGCAATTCTCAACACTTTGATCATTTCATCTTGAACAAGGTCAGATACCACCTTTTGATCAAGAACTTTGTTAATGCTTTCCTTGTCATTTAGATGAGTTGAGGTCCAGTAGACCAAGTCTTTTCCTTCTCCATAGGCTTCTTCTATTGGTTTTCTTCCAGTTACTAGCTCCAATAGCACGACACCAAAGCTGTAAATGTCGTTCTTTTCTGTCACTCTGAGAGTGTATGCTATTTCTGTCGAGCAAACATATAGGAAGGTAAATGCAAATTCAAGGATGAAAAGTAACAAGTAGAGACAAAATGGTAACTGAATTTAAGGCTTTGTTGAGACTTACCAGGCGCCATGTAACCATGAGTACCTGCAAAACAACTGAACTCGGATCCCCTAGAAGAAATTTCTGAAACTTTTGCAACCCCGAAATCTGAAACTTTTGCTTCATAATACTCATCAAGTAGAATGTTGGTTGATTTGATATCTCTGTGAATAATAGGAGGGCAACAATCATGATGCAGATAAGCAATTCCTTTTGCAGCTCCAAGGGCTATTTTATATCTCTGGTACCAATCTAGTTCTGGTTTGCCAGCCTTGATCTCTCGGTGTAGTGCCTCGAAAAGATTACCATTTGGCAAGTACTCAAAAACCAAGATATTTGAACCTTCTTTCATTAGACTGGCATACAACTTAACTATATTTCTGTGCCTGATTTTCCCCAAGATTTCCATTTCCCTTGTCAAAACTTTCACACCGATCCCCTTCCACAGCTGCTTCACAGCTACTGTTCCACAACCTTTCTTCAAGTCTAACCGATAAACTTTTCCTGTACCTCCACTTCCGATCAAATTGTCCTCATCGAAATCACAGACTTCATCTGCATCAAATTCCACAGGGTGGAAACTCTCAAGCTTCCATTTTGCATTTGTTCCCTTGGCTTGCTCCAGTTTTTCTTCATCGTCTATGTCATGACTATGCTTATAGTTTAGGTAACTGACGAGCAATAAGCCACCCATTAGAACCGCTAAGGAAAGCAACACAATGCAAGATACCACTAGTTTGTTTAACTTATGTTTAGCAGCCTTTCCACCACAACTGTCCAAGCCTGAGTTGATCGAGAATCTGATGCTTTGGTCGATACAAAGTCCTTTGTTACCAGCTAATGCCTTGTCTCCTCCCAGCGTTAAAAGATCTAATGATACCTCTCCTGATAGCTGGTTGTTAGAGAGATCCAATGAAGACAGCTTCAGATTGTCCAAGCTAGTTGGTATTGTACCAGTGAGTCTGTTGTGTGAAAGATTCAGAGAGTTCAAAGAGGTCATTATTGATAAGGAATTGGGAATGCTACCTGTAAGAAGATTTGAAGCAAGATTCAGGTCTGCAAGCCTAGAAAATTCACCCAATTCTGATGGGATAGTCCCGGAGAATGAGTTTTTCTCCAAATGCAAAGATGAAATTTGCTTTAGTTTTCCAAGTTCAGAAGGTATTGCACCCGAGAAGTTATTGTTATCCAAGTAAAGCCTTTCCAACTGTGTGAGTTTCCCAAGTTCTTTTGGAAGCTCACCTGAAAATCTGTTATTTGATAATACCAACTGATTCAGGCTAGTAGCAGCCCCAATTTCCGGGGACATAGTTCCACTGAATTCGTTATCACTGAAATCCACCATCAGTACATTTGGAAGTCCCCATACATCACTGGGAATTTTCCCAGAAAGTTGATTCTTACTGACCCTCAATCTCTGTAAAGGCTTGCACGACGAGTAAGTACTCGGAAACTCCCCTGAGAAACTGTTCTCAATAGCTAGCAAAAACTGCAGGTTCCCATTTTGGCACAAGTACTTTGGGAATCCACCAGTAAACTTGTTTTCAGATATGTCTATGCTATTCAGGGGCGAAAACCGACCAAGATTTGCTGGAAATGCCCCAGAAAAATTGTTCCTGTACACGGAAAAGCCATTAAGATGCTGCATATCTCCAAAACCAGGAGGAATTTCACCAGAGAAGTTATTCATGAATACATGAAAAACTGTTAACTTCTTCAGGTTCCCAATTTCTGGAGGCAGCTTCCCATACATATGGTTGCTAGAGATATCAAATTCCTGCAAAAGAGAGAGCTCTGCCAGTTCTACAGGAAGTTCCCCTGTCAACTTATTCTGAAACAGCTCAATTTTCCATAATTTTTTCAGCTTGCTTACTGACTTAGAGAAATTCCCAGAAATCTGATTTCTTGAAATATCCAATGTACCTAGTGCCTCCATTTCAAAAATGGATTCCGGGATTTCTCCTGTCAAATTTGAACCTGCCAGGTAAAGCCAATACACTTTCTTTAAATTCCCAAGAGTCTCAGGAATTTTACATTCAACAAAGTCATTATCTCCGAGGCCTAGCGCAACCAAACCAGTCATATTTCCAACCCAAGATGGGAATTCCCCGGAAAAGTAGTTAATCGACAAGTCCAACACTTCTAAGTTAGTCAACTTAGACAAATCAGGTATCGTTCCGTTCATGTTATTTACTGTGACATTCAAGACTCTGAGACTGGTGCAGTTGGTAACTTCACTAGGAAGTTTCCCTGATAGTGCATTTGAAGGTAACACAAGAGAAGTGAGACTTTTGAGTGAAAAGATTGAAGGTGATATCACCCCGGAAAGCGATTTATTATCAAGCGAAATTTCGATAACAAGACCAGTATTTTTATCACATGTAATTCCATAGAACTTGCAAGGAGATTCTGAGTCCTTCCAAGAATCCAAGTAATTCAAAGGGTCATTAAGCTGCTCTTTGAAATGCAAAAGAGCCTCAGTTTCTGATGTTAAGGACTTACATGGCTGGACAAAAAAATTCAAAAACAAAAAAACAGCAAGAATTGAGAGGGAGTTTTGGAGTTTTTGGATTCTGGCCATTCTTGAAATTTGAGAAGGGCAAAAGGGTCATTTCAAAGAGGGGACACAAATCCAATCAAGAACTCCATTATTGCCATGATGGGTGTCCATCCAAGAAACAGCTGAAAGAAAAACAGTGGAAACTCAGAAACCAAAAACTAAGATAAGTGGTATATTAAAAAAACAAGATAATACTCATATCCCAATATAAAAAAGTTGTCTTTTTAAAAAGTGTTGTATACCTAACAAAATGTTTGTCATGTACTTCATATAACTTTCCAACATGAAATAAAAATTGCAGTTCAAGAAAAAGAAAACTTACAGATACAGGAATTCTAGATTATAAAAGATGGGATTGTTGGGTGGGGTTGGGAAGGAAATTAACTTATGTTAAGATGTCAATTTCCCATTTAGTTGTGAATTACACTATATAAAAATTTAATTATCTCCCTTTAAAGTGACTCAAAATATAATAGTTTCACCTTATTTTACAGTCTGTCCAGGTTATGAAAGAAGATACTCATTTACTCCCCAAAAAAATTAGATAGGAATATAACCAAACAAAGAACTAACAACATACCCGTGTGATCTCATAAGTGTGGAATCTGGGGTAGGTAGAACGATTGTTTTTGAGAGACCCTTCGAAACATAATTGCAAGAATACTAGGAATATAACCAACAATATTGAAATCTTGGATTTCTATATTTGTAACAATAACAAAACAACTTTTTTTCCAAGAAAGTTATAGCAAACTACAATAGGCAAACAAGGAACATGGAAATCAACTAATTGACATAAAACAAACAGCTTTCATAATTTAACAGAAACAGAGATATCCATAGAAACAAAAAAGTAAACTTTCATAAAGATCACAGTGACATGCATCTTTTAGGTCCGGTTTGATTATAGATTTTGAAGTTTTACGAGCGAAAATTCCAAAAGTCCAAATATATCAAATTTCATGGCCAAACAGATACGAATATAAATTTTCAAAATACCATCTAAAATCTATGGCCAAACGCGTGTCAAAGAATCATCTGATAACTCATATAACACATAAAGTTTGAATTTTTATGTAATTAAAAGACTAACAAATGAACAAGGCTTAAAGAAAACAAGAGTTATACCTGAAATAGTAAGATGATTTTCTGTTTCTCTTATTTATTCACACATAAAGAGGCAGAAAGCTTCAAACTTTTTTGTTTTCTTGAATACCCAAAAGAATTCAAAAATTTGAATGAGACCCCTCTAAAGGGAAAATGGGAATTTGCAGTGTCAGTCACCAGAAATAGATAAAAGAAAAAGAAGTTTCTGAATGAAGAGTTTGTTGGTTTTTAGTCTATTTAGTGATTATAGAAAAATAAGGTTTTAGTAGGAACACAAAATGATTTGAGAAAAGACAAGAAGAAGAGATAAGGCAAAAGTGTGTGTTTGGGGGGTGGAGGGGGGGGGGGGTGTTAATTAGTGCAAATGATTAATTAATGAAAGAAAACAATATTGTATGAAGGTGAGTTATGCAACAAGAAGGTGACAAAAAATGAATAAAAGCTTTTTAGAATACTTTGGTTGAGATTAAGACCTACTCATTTTGTGAGGAGTTACACTTTTATATATTCGCAAGTGTTAGATGTTTGGTCAAGTTTTAATAGAATATTGATATTAAATTTATTGTTTGAGAATCAATTATATATGAATAAATTTTTTTTTAGGCCTTCAAAGAGAAAGCGAGGATTAACAAGTGAA